CCCCAAAACCCCAAAACCCCAAAACCCCAAAACCCCTTATTTTTACAAAATGATTGACAAAGGATTTAAGAAATTATAGGTCATGAAAATAATATTTTAAGTTAAAAATGGAAAGGTAAAATTAAGTTTTGGCATGGCGATCTGCCATGAGATACATTTAAAAGTTTCTCTCTCAAAGGTAGAATGCTCTAATGCTATTCATCAGATAGTCTGCTTTTATACTGCTCAAAATTTCTATAACTTATATTCATGCTCAAAGATTTAGTCTTCAAAATAAGCAAGCCACTAATAAATCTGAAAGTGACCAGACTCAGAACTATGATATCCAGACTAGGAAAAGGAGGAGAGATTATAAGACTCTCGAAGGTGGAAATTGTACAGGTAAGAATCCTGGTATCCTGTCTGATTTTTAATATCCCAGTCTAGTTCAAAATTATCCCTTCGTTTGATAAGATTTGTAATTAAATAATTTTATATTAATTTTCCATCTGATGAATCTTTTCAAAATCTTTTTTCCAATCTCCCAGCCACTTCTCTAACCCAAAACATTTCTGGAACCCCCAAGATCCTGGCACAAACCACCCTCTTATTCCACTCAAAAACATCAAAAATTCGATATTCGAAAACCTGCTCCCTTCTCCACCCCTAAATCCTCTCCTCCAAATCTCAATTCTCTCATTCCTAGCCTCCAAAAATCTCTATCTCTACTGCAGAACGCTACTTTTATTCCCAAATTTAACAAATTTTTCTGAAAATTACTTTAAATTTAGGACCAAAAATAAGGGTTTCTTTGGGATTTAGGGGTCTTTAGGAATTTAGATTTTTTGGGGATTTTGGAGAGTAGAGAAGGCTGAAGACAGCAAACTTGTCAGACAGAGTAGGGGGATGAGGCTGTAGAGTGGCTTTGGGGGTAGGGAGGAGAGGTGGGTGGTGCTAGGGAGAGAAGAGGGAGTTTAGAGGGGTTAGTTTGGTTTTTGCTCGATTTATGTTATTGGCATTCATGACATTATTGCATAGGCTCCTCAGCGAAGCCATATACGACTAGGAACGAGCAGGATAATATAAGAGAAAGGAAGGACCCGAGGAAGCATATAGAAGAAATAAACACCAGTTATATGCAACAATCTGCTAAATCAAATGGTAAGGTTTTCTCTAACTCTCTTGTAGATGGGAAGAGAACTAACGGCCGCTGGACAGCAGAAGAACATCGCAAATTTGTCGAAGCCCTCAAGATGTATGGAAAGCAGTGGAAATAAAGTTGAAGAGCACATTAAGACAAGATCAGGGGCCCAGATTAGGAGTCACGCTCAGAAATATTTCCTCAAGATCCAGAAAGAGTATCCTGACCAAGATGCTTTTCAGATCTTTAAAAATAATTCACCAGAATTTCTAGAAGAGACGATTTACATGAAAAATCGTGATGAAAGCGAGGAGAATAAGAGTAATCATTCTCGCAAGGTTGTTCCTTCAGAGCCCTGAGAGATTGCCCATGAAGATAACCCTAAGAAAGAAGATAATTCACAACCTAAAGCTGAGAGTTTTAATGATAATGAATTTGCAAATTCAGTTAAAATGCTTCTTGAAAAAAGAAAAGAAGCTCAGAAAGAACAGCCTATGCTTCTTCCCCAGAACCCTCATTATCAAGATATCTTACAGATTCGGAACTTTTATGAGCATGTGCAGAAGATTTTGCCTTCGAACAACCTGCCTCCTCTAAACCAGATCGCTACAGGTGAGTTTTCATCATTTTTCCACTAAATGTAAAGTGTAGACTTTCACAAGATTTTTCAAATCTTAAGCTAATTTAGACCAAAAGTGAAATGAGATTCTACAAGAATTCAAGACATATCGGGATAACTTTCTTGCTGCTCAGAAACAAAGTGTAATAAATAATACTCAGAGCCTGGTGGCTGGTGCCCAGCCAACAGGAGGCCAGAATTATTCTAGAGCCAATGCTTACTTTAATCAAGAACTTTATAACAATATATGTGGAGAAATCATCAAGCTCAAGGAAAGATTCAACAAAGTTCAGAATGCTGAGCTTACTCTGATGAATACAGCTCTTGATACCTCCTCCCTAGACAGTCTGATCAGGGCAAGCCTAAACTCACAGTTCGTTGGAAGAAACAGAGTTGACAGCCTTTGTAATGTAAGACAACATTCAGGTAGGAAAAGAGCAATGACTGTTGACGGACCGGTGAAAAATAAATATGCTCGTCTGAACCACACTCAGAACTCTGCATTTGTGAGCTTTAAAAGTAAATTCAATCCTCAAGAGACTGTTCAAGAGACTAAGGATGAAGAGATGGATTCAAAGGATACAGAGATGAAGATTGAGGAACCTAAGTTAAACAAGAAGTTCACTCAGGTCATCAAAGACAAAGATGAACATCTATCTGCCCATCAGCCTTTGCTCTCTCAAGATGAGGCTGTTCTCAAAAGAAAGAGAGCTAGGTCTTTCTAGACCTCCTTTTGCCACCATTTTCTTATATTTTCAATTAGTAATATAAAAAGGGGTTTTGGGGTTTTGGGGTTTTGGGGTTTTGGGG